CTTGAAATGTTAACTTGCCCAGAACAGAGGAAAAAAAAACAGGAACAAAAACTGCTTTTTATAAACTTCTGCAGACTGTGAACTTCTGAGCCCCTTCCCTTACATGTTGGGTACAAAATTCTGAAACTACCTAAACTTGGGGTTCAGGGGATTRATTGATTACAACAGAAGCAATGCCCTCTGAATCTGGTTGCAACCAAATAGGACTGTTTCCTTGTCTTTGGTACTATCTTAGGTGCCTTGCCTTGTCCATCCCTACAACAGTATAATTCTATATACTTAAACATTGTTTATGTTTTCATAAAATGGAGCCTGGTGGGCATATGACACAGGGTTAACTCCTTGCATTTCAGGCCAGGTATTTAACAGCTCTGTAAATTATTGTGTAATGGTGCAGATGTTTCCCAGAGTGCTCTATCATGATGCAGGTTCGTTTGAAGATCAAATAGGGGGACATACAACCCCGTTCCGCCAGGAACCTGTATCCCTCACTTTAGCCATCCTATTAGGAATAGGAGTTGCTGCAGGGGTGGGCACAGGAACCACTGCCCTGGTGCGTGGGACACAACAAATGACCCAATTAGAAGCAGCAATAGACCAAAACTTAAATATTAGAAACCTCCATCACAGCTTTGCAGGAATCTTTAACCTCTCTCTCTGAAGTTGTTTTACAGAACAGGCGAGGGTTGKACCTCCTCTTCATGAGAGAAGAGGGCTTTTGTGCTGCATTGAGGGAAGAATGTTGTTTTTATGCCGACCATACTGGAGTTGTAAAAGAATCTATGAGTAAATTAAGAAGACGCCTTGAAGAGCGTCAGCGAGAGAGAGAGGCCCAAAAAGGGTGGTATGAGTCTTGGTTCACACAGTCCCCGTGGTTAACTACGCTTTTATCAGCCCTGGCAGGTCCTTTAATAATCCTCATATTATTGCTAACTGTAGGACCCTGTTTGCTCAACCATGTAGTTTCCTTTCTCCAAGCTCAAATTGGACAAGTTAAACTTATGGTAATCAGACAACAATATACCCCACTAGCAGACATAGAATGTGACACCCTCCAATGATCACTTTTATGATTAAAAGTAGCCAGAAGAAGAAGTGGGGAATGAAAAGTTAATAATCTTGAGAACTGTTTGCTAATCTTGTTCCCAGAATGTGCTGTCCCCAACTGCCAAACTGCAGAATGTACTCCCTTACCCGGTTGCATGCAAACCACCCACTCGCCCTGACCTGTCAATGAACTTCCCTCCCTGCCCTCTCCAAGGAAAGTATATAAGCTCTGCTTAAGCTGTTCTCGGGGCTCTTTGCTCTATTCAAGTGAGCTCTGAGCCCCAGCATGCTGGATCCCCAATAAACCCTTTGCTGTTGCATGAGACAGTCTGTTGGTGGTCTCTTCCTCCGACGCTTGCCCGACCTTTACAATTGAAAATACTATCTTTTATTGAAAAGCCTTAGAATATTTGTCAAAGATTATCTGACCATATATGTAAGAATTTGTTTCTAGTTTCTTTGTTCTGTTTCATCAGACTACACGTCTGGCTTTTTTTTTTTTCAGTATCATATCATTTTAGTGACTGTAGTTTTACAATATGTTTTAAAATCAGGAAGTAATAGGCCTCTTTTTGTCTACAAAAAGATTGCTTTGTGAATTTTGCATTTTTGCAAAAAACATTGCTATTGGAATTTTGATAGAGATTGTCTTGAATATATAGATCATATTGGATAACAGAGCATTTAAACATAACTAAGTCTTCAATCCATGAACACAGACTACCTCTCTATTTGTATCTTCTTTAACTTCTTTCAGCAACATTTTGTAGTTTCAGTGTAAAAGTTTTTTTTTTTCCTCCTTCATTAAGTTTCTTCCTAAGTACCTGTTTTAGTCAGCTCTTTTGCTGCTGTGACTAAAAGACCAAACCAGTAAAACTGAAGAGGAGGAAAAGTTTATTTGAAGGCTTACGTTTTCAGAGGTGAGGCAGGACATCATGGCAAAAGAGTGTGGTGGAAGGAAGCAATTCACATGATGATCAGAAAGCAGAGGGAGAAGTCTTTATTTTCCAGATACAAATATATACTCCAAAGCCAGGCACCCAATGCCTTACCTCCTCTAGCCACACCCAACCTGCTTTAAGTTACCACTCAATGAATCTCATCCAGTGATTAATTCACTAATTGGGTTAATTCACTAAAGGCTCTTGTAATCCAGTCATTTCACCCCCAAACCCTCTTGCATGGTCTCACTTGTGAGATTTTGGGGGACACCTCACATCCAAACAATAACAGTACCTTTTTCTTTTTTGAGCTATTTCAAGTGAATTTTTTAAATTTCCCTCTTAGATTGTTAATTGTTATGTGTAGAAATGCAATTGATTTTTGGATAATGATTCTTACCTTTGCATGAAATCATCTGGTCCCCAGCTACTCATTGCTAGAAAGATTTGTAAATCACTGATCAATTACCAATCAAATCTTACTAGTTAGAAATCTGTCCAGATCTTATTTCTTCATAATCCAGTTCAGGAGATTACAAATTTCTAGAAATCCATCCATTTCTTCAAAACTACTCAGTTTGTTGACATATAAATATTCATAGGATTGTCTTATGATCCTTGTTCCTGCTTTGGAATCAGTAGTAAACATTTTTTATTTCTGATTTTTGTTAATTAAGCCATCTTCTTTATTTCCCCTCAGTCTACCTAAGACTTTTTAGATTCTGTTAATTTATTCAAATAACCAACTCTTGGTTTCACGACATCTTTCTATGGTTTTTCCATTCTACATTGTGTTTGTTTCTTCTTTAATCCTGGGTATTTCTTTTCCCTGATGTATTTTTGTTTAGTGTTTGGGGATGGGCTGTACTGGACATGTCTGTTGGTCCAGTGGGTCTGTCGTGTTGTTCAATCTTCTCTTTCTTTGTGGATCTTCTTTCTGGTTGACCTATCTCTTTTGAAAGTAGGATATTGAAATCTCCTACTATTATTGTGTTAAGGTCTTTTTCTGTCTTTAGTTTTGTCAGTGTCTGTTTCATGTGCTCTGCTATTAGGTGTGTGTGTGTGTGTGTGTGTGTGTGTGTATAATTATTTCATCTTTACATTGAATTGATACTTTCTATCATTCTATACTCTCTTTGTCTCATCGAACATCTTCTTACTCAAATTCCATTTTGTCTGATAACAGTAGGGCCACCCTGTTCTCTTTTGGATAAGCTCTGCATAGAAAATGTTCTTCTATCCTTTCATTGTCAGTCTGTATATGTCTTTATATCTAAAGTGAATCTCTTATAATCAGCACATATTTGGATCTTTTTTTGTTTGCTAGTTTTTAAAATTCATTCATCCACTCTGTGTGTTTTGATTTGGGAGTTTAATCATTTACATTTAAAGTAATTACCGATACAGTAGGGCTTATTACTGCCATTTTCTTGTTTTCTATATCTCATAAGGTTTTTCTTTGTTATTGTTATTGCTCTTTTTTTCTTCTCTTGCTGACTTTCCTTGTGTTTGCAGATTGTTTTTTGTAACAACATTTTATGTCTTTCTTATTTTGTCTTATGCATTTTCTGTAGACATTTTCTTTGTGGTTACCATGGGGATCACAAAAATCTTATAACAATCTATTTTAAATCAATACAATTTATCCTA